GGGCTACTTAGGAAAACAGAAATGGGAGACAGACCTGGAATGGGTGAATGAAGAAGTAGCTGCTACAGCAAATTTGTATTAGGAGTCAGCATGCAAAATGGGGAGAGGCGCGGAAGATGGCTGGAGGCCCGGGGTATAGCGGAGTGCATGGCCAAGCTGCAACCGTGCAAGTGCAGGAAGAAGCCGGAATAAAGATTACCATCAGCACAATGAGCTGCAACAAAAAAAAAAATCTGCTCGGCTTAGAGATGTGTGCAAAATGTGCGATGGGTTACATAAGCAGGACCTAATGATGATGATGATGGCTTGCATCTATCACACCATACATAACTGTGGGGGAGGGGAGAGGGGGTTGCAGCACACTGTCAGTTGCTATGGCTGATTCCGATTGGAATGGGAACCTGGAGTTTGATTAGGGGGGGAGGGGTTATCTATTCTTAGATCTGAGAAAGAGGGGGACCCATCAGATGAAAGTGAGAGGCATGTATCATGGCAAGGTGTACATGAGAAGAGACATCCCCTGTGCTGTGTCTATGGGGACCAGTCCAGTAATATCCCATAGTGTGCAACATGCCTGTGCTGTTTTATTCTATGGGATTCCACTGTCTGTGCTGCTTTATTCTATGGGATTCTACAGCCTGTGCTGTTTTATTCTATGGGATTCCACAGTCTGTGCTGTTTTATGGGATTCCACAGTCTGTGCTGCTTTATTCTATGGGATAGTACAGTCTGTGCTGCTCTATTCTATGGGATACTATAGTCTGTGCTGCTTTATTCTATGGGATACTACAGTCTCTGCTGCTTTATTCTATTGGATACTACAGTCTGTGCTGCTTTATTCTATGGGATACTACAGTCTGTGCTGCTTTATTCTATGGGATACTACAGCCTGTGCTGTTTTATTCTATGAGTTTCTACAATCTGTGCTGCTTTATTCTATGGGAGTCTAGAGTCTGTGCATTCAAGAGAGTGTGCTGGTTTATTCTAAGTCTTTTCTAGAGAGTGTGCTGGGCCATTAGCAGAGTCGGATTGCACTGAATTCTAGAGCGTGTGCTGGTTTATTCTATATCACAGTCTGCAATCGTATATCATTTTATAGCCTGTGCTGTTTTATTCCATAGACCTGGATTCTGCACACAGGGCCATTAGCAGCGTCGCATCGCATTGAATTGTAGAGAGTGTGCTGGTTTATTCTAAGTCTCTTCTAGAGAGTGTGCTGGGCCATTAGCAATGTCGGATTGTACTGAATTACAGAGAGTGGGCTGGTTTATTCTATATCACAGTCTGCTCTATCACATATCATTTTATGCATTGTGCTGTTTTATTCCATAGACCTGGATTCGGCACAGAGGGCCATTAGCAGCGTCGGATTGCATTGAATTGTAGAGAGTGTGCTAGTTTATTCTATATCACAGTCTGTTCTATATCATATCAGCCTGTGCTGTTTTATTCCATAGACCCGGATTTTGCACACAGGACCATCAGCAGA